GAAAATAAGGCTCCCCGGGCCCAAAAGACAGTAGAGGCCAGAGCTTGGTCCCTCCTGAGCTGTCTCAATAAAGCCGCAGCTGGGAGGCCCTGTCGGTTTCCATGGAAACGTGAGGCATCTGGTTTTACTGCATACCTCACAGACCCCGACAGTCACCCCACAGCCGAGGGCTGCCTGGACCCAGAGGGCAATTCTCAGGGTCTCGGGCTCCTCGTGAATCTCCACGGAATCATGGGGCCCTGACAAGCCTGCATTTCAGAGGCTCCAGGATTCAGCGCTTGAGCAGCCCTGCCAAGGCTGCCCGTGCCCACCTCATGCCTGCCTGGTGCCTGCTCCATGCTGGGCATTGTCCTGCAAAAGCACATGAGGCGGGTCCCGCCCTGGGGACTGAGCAGGCTCTGCCATCTCAGGAAGGTCACTCTAGCTCTCTGGCCTGTCTTCTAGACAGCTGAGGGCAGGGGGCAGCTCATGAGCTGCACGTGCCACGTCTGGGGTGCGCACGCTCCCTGGGAGAGGCGAAGCTGTTGCATGACTGATGCTATGATTGCCACCTGGAGAGGTGGCACCATGCGCTGACGGGCTGCAGCAGGACCCTCCCCCAGGAAGCAGGCAGGAACAGCAGGGTCCCAGCAAGGCTGCAAAGCAGTGCCCAGCCTCCCATCACCGGTCCAACCTGCAGCCAGAGCCTGGCGTCCCTGGAGTACAGAGCCATGTGACCAGGCTGCTCCCCTTGCCCAGGAGGCAGGCAGCCTTAGTCTAAAGATGTCTGTTCTCTGCAGGTGCCCAGCCTCACTCCAGACCCCAGGCCTCACCATAACCTCCACAGGGCGTCTTTCCCACACTGACACCTCTGCCACCGTGGCCAAGTGGCAAGGCCACGTGCACCCAGCCTGGGCCTGCTGCACAGACATTCCTGCTCCTGGCCCCCTCAAAGCTGGCTCCCCCGTGTCCCCTGAGATGTGGGTCACAGCAATATTCCTAAGAGTGGAACATGTTGCCTTCGGAACCCAGAGCCACCGGGCCGGAGCTCCCTCCTGCAGAGCACAGGGTGCGAGATGCAGCAATTGTCTTTTACTGTAGGGGGACGTTCTGGCAGGACCCTGGACGCTGGGCACCTCAAAACCTCCCTGGAGTGCGGGTCTCTGACCTCACTCAGGGCTCATCTCCCACCCTCTGCAGTGCACGTGTCTGAAGGCCTCCAGCCCACCAGCCTCCTCTCCTGCGTCCTGCCCAGTCAGCATGATGTCGTCATTGGAAGGGATCTGTGTCACGTCCCGCAGTTGTCCAGGGGCCCAGTCTCCTCATACTATCTTAGGACAGAGGGGAGCTTAACACAGCCCTGAAACCAAAGTGTAAGTGAGCGTCACTGAGTACCAGCATCCCTGCCATGCGAACACAAACTATTTCTGATCCTCTTTTCCAATTGGGATGGAAAAGAATGTGATGGCAGATTGAGGACCTTTAATCTGCTGTGACTCAGACACTTTGGCACAGCCGATGCAGCTGGGCTGTCACTTGGTTAAGCCTCAGTGGCCTACGGTCACTCTCCAGGATCCATCGGTCCCTGTAAGGCCCACACCAGCCCTTGGCGTCAAGGAGATGGACGGCCAGCCACACCTGCACCCTCTGGACCTGGGCCTCCAGGGAGGCCACACTGTTTGTGGTTTGCTGTCTAGGCCATGGAGGGGCAAAGTCCAGGGCTTCCCCGGGGCTTCCCCACTAGGAGGTCGGTGGCCACAGGCCAGGAACCCAACAGGCAAGTATGTGAGCTACAGCTACACAGTTGGGGACTAGGAAGTGACCCCCGGGTAGTCTGTTGACCAGGGGAGCCAAGAGTCCTTATGTTACCTGAGCCCATAAACTCTCCTCCACAGGGAGGCCATAGTGACACTGGGTCTTCAGGGGTCAGTGTCCACACAGACCTTGTGTCCAGTTGTCCCCCTCCCCAGTGTTCAGTCATCCAAGTAAATGTAGGACTGGGGGGTCCTACAGCATACACTTGCCAAGATGTGGCCTTGCTCTTCCTCCTGGCCCTTCAGCCACCTCTGCAGTCAATGGTTCCAGAGGAAAAAACTGGCTCAAGTGGGATCATGACTTCTTACTGGATCCCCTGCCCTCGGCCTATTCGTTCCTTCCTTTGCCATCTACCAAGACAGCTTGGGCATTTCTATTTTGCTCAACATGGGCCATCACTCTCTCCAGGCTTCTCTGAGCCATCCCAGAACTGAGTTTGCCCCGTGACCTGAAGACCTTGCCAGGGGATGAAATCCTATGTTCTGAGAAAGTTCCCCAAAGTCAATAATTCTGCTTATCCATCCTCACTTCTGGTTCCTGGGCCCAGGACCCTCAAAGCCCAGCCCAAGGGCCTCCCTGCCTCTTGCAGATGGAGCCAGCAGCTCCTGCAGCTCTTGGTGTAGAACCTCTTTCCCCCCCAGTCATTGGCCTGGCAGCGAGGAGACAGACGGGTGGCCCCCAATGCAGGCCACCTTGTTGCGGGGAGGCCCCTGCAGCATCTTCCAGCACAAAGGAAGTGCTGGCTCTTACGAGGGAAGGTGGGCCCTTCTACCAGCTCCGAAGGGTCAGGAGTCTGCAGAGCCGCATCCGCAGGGCTTCCACCCAGATGTTCCAGCTCATATTTCAGGGGCTCAGGTTTTCCCGGCTTGGGTCCTGACCTTCACAGACCAGCGCTGGCCGACCCCTCAAGCATGTCCGGAGCCAGGAAGTCCTCACTATCATCTTCAGCTGCTGCCCAGACAGATCAGCTCTTCCCTGCAGGAGACGGATTTCTTTTCAGGCCAAAGAGGCCTCCGGTTCTCACACTGAGCCTTTCACTGCTGGCTAACTGCCCTGGTCTCCCATTATCCCTCTGCAGGGCCATCAGCGCAACTCAGCAGTGACCCACCCACCCACCCCTTCAAACACCCGAGTTGTCGCACCTGCTCCCTTGCACCGGGACATTTCCTAGGTCACCAGGGTGAAATCTAGCAATTGGGCTTCCACCTCCTGCCAAGAACTACCTGGACCCCACACGCCAACTAGGATGGCGTCCCCTTTACCTGCCAGTGCTGGGCGAGGCAGCATAGATGCCCTCTTGCACTCTCTGTGTTCACTGGGGTCCTCTAAGAAGGAGGGGCTGAGGCTAGACCTGACTAGACCTTTACTGGGGCAATGGCTGTGAGGGACAGGGGAGGGGGCTGAAGACGAGAGGGCGCCCTCAGACTACAAGCAAGGCCCCTGTGAGGGAGCGCTGGGGGAGGAGGCTCAGTGGGAGGAGCTCCTGGCCAGGCTGACGGGGACACCTGGAGCCAAAGTAAGCCCGGAAAGGATTTGGGTCTGGGAGAAATGGGCCTCTGTTCACACCCCTGGGAGCAGCCCCTGTGGGAGGTGCTGCCACTGGGAGTGCAGGTGGATCTGGGGGCACAGCACGCCCAGAAGCTGTGGGCTTCTGTCCACAGCCACCACACGGCTGCCACACTTATGCATACTTATACAGAGACACACATACACTGGCTCGCTCACAGGTGCACAGACACACATACACATTTGCTCACAGGTGTACACAAGCATACTCATACACTCCGCATACACTGACACACATACACAGACACACATATGCTCATGAGCAGCGAAGGGCCGAGTGGGCAGTGACCAGCATCCAGCCTGAGGCGGCCCTGGGAGCTGGGGCAGGAGGGAGGGTGTGCCGGGGCTGGGGCACAACTTGCAGGCCCTTTGGCTGGCAGAGCTGGGGCTGGATGTCCCTCCTCACACTGGGAAGTTGTTCCCCCTCCACTGTCACTACAGCAGGCTCCTGAGAACACAAAGACCCTTGCCCTCAGCCACTTCACCATCAGGCAGGAGACAGGGTGGGCACACCAGAACCACGGTGCAGGTGGAAAGAGGTGGGAAGTGGTGGCCAGGCCACCACAGGTGCAGAGAGAAAGGCCATGAAGACTGGAGGGTGGCCTCCTGGGGCACGCACAGGTCACCAAGAGGCTCTCGGGTCTCTCTCCTCTGTGGGGGAGGGGACTAAATCAGAGATTTGCAACGCTGCTCATCTGAGGCCACCGTCTCTTGCTGCGTGACCCCCTTCAAGGATATGGGTGATGCAGCCTGTTCCAGAGCCCAGACCTGCCCACAGCCTAGCCTGCACACCACCTCAAGGAGGAGCACTGGTCCTGGAGGGGCTGCCGCTCGGGGTGGGGAGTGGGATCTCGACCACAGCCCTGCCAGGGAGCCCCTCCCCCTCTTCCAGACTCAGGCAGGGACATCACAGTGGTCCCGGGCCCATGCCAAGCACCGCTATGGGATTCTTTGGCGAAGGGGCGGCCCAGCCAGCACCCCCCCCCCCCCCCCCCCCCCCCCCCCCGCCCTCCGTCTCCCCAGAGCACCCTCCAGAGTCCAGCTGCCCTGGCCCATCCCCGCCGGCCCTTCATCTCAGACGCGCCCTCAGGGACCACGCACGTTCTGACCCGCGGGGCCGGGACGAGGAGAAAGGCCGGGCCGCTGAGCCAGGCGGGACCCGGAGACTGGGTGGCAGCTCCTGCGGGGCGAGTCGCGGGCCTAGTCGGCCTTGTGTGGGGGACCAGGACCCTCCAGCAGACGCGGCCCGCGGGGGGAGAGGGGCGGCGGGGGCCCCCGCGAGGCTGGGGCGCTGGAGGGGGCGGGGTTCCGGCGGGGGGCAAGGGGTGCTGACTTCGCCCTAGACTGGATCTCTGAGAGCTGGCAGCGGCCCATCCCGCCGACGCCCTTCCCGCCCCACTCCCTCTCGGCCGCCCGCCCCTCGTCCCCCTCATCCCCTCCCTGCTCCCCGCACTCCCCGCCCCCTCCGTGGCCCCTCGGGTCCCCCTCGTCCCCCCCATGCCCTCCATGCTTCCCGAACTCCCCGCTCCCCCGTGGCCCCTCGGGTCCCCCTCGTCCCCCCTCCCCCGCATCCCCTCCCCGCTCGCCGCCCCCTCCGGCCCATCCGCGGGGCCGCAGCGCCTCCCGGCGGCCGCGGCGTCGGGGTGGGGGCGGGGGAGGCGGGTATAAAGCGGCGGCCCCGCCCGCGGTCCCCTCCCTCCTGCCGCTCGGCGCCGCGTCTGGCGGTCGGACGGAGCCTCCTCGGGACGCGTCCAGCCAGGGCGCCCGCGCACTCGGTCAGGTGAGCGCCCCTCCCGGGCCCGTCCGGAGCCCGGGCACCCGCTGGAGCCGCTAGGCAACTCCGCGGACGGGACAGGAGTGGGAGACGGGACAGGATCGGGGGACAGGACAGGACTGGAGCCGGGAGACAGGACAGAAACAGGGGACAGGACAGGAGCTGGGGACAGGACCAGGAATTGGGGACAGGACGGGGGGGGGGGCGTCGGGGGGACAAGACTGGAGTGGAGGACAGACCAGGAGGGGGTGACAGGACAGGAGCTGGGACAGGACTGGAGTGGAGGACAGGACCAGGAATGGGGGACAGGACTAGGAGACAGGAGCAGGATAGGAGTGGGGGACAGGACAGGAACCAGGGGGCAGGATAGGAGTGAGTGAGCAGGGAACGGAACAGAGGACGGGACAGGAATGCGGGAGACCTGGCAGGGCTCTCCCTTACGATAAGGAATGTCCCCCACCCCACCCCAGCCCTGGGGACCACACCCGCCTTAGTGGCCCCACTTCAACCACTTGGGCCTGGCTCAGAGCTCTGATGTCGGCACCTTCGGTGCCTTGTGTGTTGGGCCCAGGGCCGAGTTACTTGTGCGGGGTGCAGTCTGGCTGTCCCCCTTAGCCTCTTCTGGGGTCGACGGGGGAGGGTAGGGGGACTTCCTCTCTTCCCGGCCCAGTGCTGAGACTCCGCAGCTCTCCAGCCCTCTGCTGGGACACCTCTCAGGTCACCAGCACCCCCGGGCACAGCATCTGCAGTCAGACCCGTGGTGTTCATGGAGGGTTTGGTTTTCACTCCGGCCTGGAGGACATCTTCAAAGGGTTGAGGAAACTAAGTCGCCCCCATGGCAAGGCCCCCCCTTTGACTTGGCACTGGGCACAGGGCCTCGAGTGGTGCTGGTCCCTTCCCCTGGGCTCCAGAGGGAGAGGGTGGCTAGAGTGAGTTCCTGAGGGCTACCCGGGCTCTTCCAGCAACAGGGCAGGGAGCGGGGAGAGCACAGTCACACCCCAACCCCAACCCTACCCCAGGAATCAGCAAGAGCCCAGCCTGCCCCCCACTCCTCTGAGGCTGGAGGCAGCCGCCTGGGCATCCTCTCCCCAGTCAATCGGGAGAGACCAAGCAGGGGGCGCAGGGAGTGAGGGGGCGCCCAGGCTGGTCTTGCCTGCGGTCGCTTCCCTGCTGGGCCCCCAACACCGGCCCAGGACTCCTCACGGGGCAGTAGCAGAGCCCTGGGGAACCAGCACCCTCAGGGGTGTGGGGAGTGTCAGCTAGGGAGAGATCTTTGCCGGCACCAGACACACACACAAACACAGCAGGGCATGGGGCCTCAGGGGCTGCCGTGCCACCCGGTGCCCACCTGGAGGATCGCCCCTTGCACCCGGGCAGGAAACCACCGGCTCCTGCACCCCACCCCCTGTCTCCCCCACAGTCCCCAAGGAAAGGTTCTCACTTTTACATGGATGCCCAGAAAGGAGGCTTGAGATCCACAGATTTTCCTGGGTTTTTTTTCTTCCGATGAAGGAGTGCTGGCCTGGGGGCCATCTTACATTTGTTCAGCAACAAAAACAGTGTTTGGGGTTTATTCCTGCCTTGGCCAGGAGGCGGGCCAGGCACTTGGGGCTCCGAGGAGGGGAGTTTCCTGCCTGCCTGCCTTCATTCCAAGGAAGGAGAGTGGGGCCGGAAGTGGGTCTGGGCCCTGGGGCATAGGTGACACTGAGTCTCCCTGGCCAGACTGGAGGGGCTGGGCACCAGGGTGCACACCCAGGTGGGCACAGGGACCCAGCTGTGTCCCCTCAGTGGAACAAGGGTCTCTATGGGCCACAGGGCCACTCTGGCCGCTGGGAAGCTGCCACCCTATACTGATGAAAGTGACCTGGGAGGCTATGAAGACCGCAGCAGGTCGGGGCAGATGTTGGGTACACCTGCATCAAACCACAGGAAAGGCAGTGTCCAAGGGGCAGTCACACTCGTGCCACCGGGCCATCTGGTTGGATGGAGCGGCCCCAGCACCGGGCAGCCATGTCCACGCCCAGCGGGGACCCTGCATTGCAGGCGGCGAGGGCAGCCCTGCCGTGGAGGGCCCACCTGAGGTCCCTCAGTGTCCTCGGGAGCCATGGGAGCAGGGAGGCCTTCAGACACAGCTCCCAGGGATGGGCCGGGACCACTGGAGACCCTGTGTAATGGCCAGTGCCCGGGACAAGGAGCTGGGGCTGCAGGCTCTTCTGGGGCCTCAGCAAAGGGCAGGTGTGGGTTGAGCGCTCCCTTGTCTCGAGCCCGGTTTTCTCCTCTGTAGAAAGAGGTCAGCTTAACACCATCTCCGTTGTTCCCTGCCAGGCTGCTGGGGTCTCCAGGTACACAGAGTGTAGGCAAACCATGTTTGCAGCCACAAAATGCTTTATAATGCTGGAAAAACCTCGCTCTTGTGATTTTAAGAAGAATACAAATAGCTTGATTGTTTCCTTTTAAACACAGCCCCACATCTTAGTGAGTCGGTCCCTCCTGTGGCTTTTTTCTCACATTTATACAAAGCAAAACCCGGTGTGGGGCACACCTGCAAAGAAGCAGGGCTCCCCGGGGCTTGGGCCATACTCTAAACCAACATTCTCCACGCCACAGTAGTGGCCAGCCTCACAGCAGGAGCCGGCGGAGGGTGGGGATCCCACTGGGAGGGGCCCTGCTCCAGGGAGAGCAGAGTCTGGGTCAAGAGTTCTGCGAAGTGTTAAGGCTTTCGAGGCTGTGTCAGACGCCCGCCCGAAAGTGGAGGCAGACCCTGTGTCCTGCAGAGCGGGCAGCAGCCCTGTCTTTTCTCTTGTTTCCCAGTTTCATATACAAGGAACGGTGGCTGTTGGTGTGTCTGTCAGTCCTTGGTTTTATGCAGGACAACATTTTTTTCCGCTGACCATTCATAGTGTGGTTGTGACTGCCTGGGTAGTATTTCCCCACGTTCCTAATGGATGCTCACTTTTTATTCATTTATAAGAGCTTTTCCCCGCCTGTCTTTAAAAATTGTAGTAAAATACACGTGTAAAATTTACCATCTCAACCATTTTTAAGTGGACAGTTCAGTGGTGTTAACTACATGCACGTCGTTCTGCAGCCCTCCCCCCCATCCCCAGAATTCTTTTCATCTTGCAGAACTGAAATTCTCTAGCTATTGACCATTAACCCCCATTCTCTTCTCCCCCAGTCTTTGGCAACCGTCATTCTAGCTTCTGTCTCTGTGATTTCTAAGACATTGTAAGTATCTCATATGATTGAAATCAAGTAGTATTTGTCTTTTTGTGGCTGGCTTATTTCCCTTTGCATAATATCTACAAGGTTCATACATGTTGTAGCAGGTGTCAGAATCCCCTTCCTTTTTAAGGCTGGATAATATTTCATTGTATGCGTACACACATCTCGTTTATCCATTCATCGGTTGGTGGATACTTGGGTTGCTTCCACATTTTAGCAGTTGTGAGTAATGCTACAGTGAAGATGGGTGTACAAAATTCTCTTTGAAAACTTGCTTTCAGTTCTTTTGAGTATATACCTAGAAGTAGAATTGCCGGATTGTACGGTAATTCTAATTTTAATTTTTTCAGAAACTGTCATGCTGTTTTCCACAGTGGCTGCACCATCTTACATTCCCAGCAACAGTGCACAACGTTTCCAATTTCTCCACACCCTTTCCCACACTTGTTATTTCCCGGGGGTTGGTTTTTTTTTTGGTGAGGAAAATTGGCCCTGAGCTGACATCTGTTGCTAATCCTCCTCTTTTTGCTTGAGGAAGATTGTTGCTGAGCAAACATCTGTGCCAGCCTTCCTCTATTTCACATGAGATGCTGCCACAGCATGGCCCAGCTAGCGGTGCTAGGTCCACACGCAGGATCCAAACCCGCGAACCCCAGACTACCGAAACGGAGCACGCAAACTTAGCCACCTTGCCACCAGGCTGGCCCCTCTGGGTTTTTTTATAGAAGCCATCCTCGTGGGTGTGAGCTGGTATCTCATTGTAGTTTTGATTTGCTTTTCCTTAATGATTAGTGATGCTGAGCATCTTTTCACGTGCTTATTGGCCATTTGTATATCTTCTTTGAAGAAATGTCTATTCAAGTCTTTTGCTCATTTTGGAATCAGGTGGTTTGGTGTTTTGTTGTTGAGTTTTAGGAGTTCTCTGTATATTCTGTATGTTAATCCATTACCAGATAAATGATTTGAAGCTATTTTCTCCTATTCTGTAGGTTACATTTTGACTCTGTGGATAGTGTCCTTTGATGCACAATTTTTAAAATCTTTATGAAGCCAAATTTGCCTATTTTTTCTTTAGTTGCTTGTGCTTTTGGTGTCATATCCAAGAAATCATAGCCAAATCCAATATCATGAAGCTTTTGCCCTGTGTTTTCTTGTAAGAGTTTTATAGATCTGGGTCTTGCATTTAGATCATGAATCCATTTTGAGTTAATTTTGTGGTCCAACTTCACTCTTTTGCATGTAGAAATCCAGTTTCCCAGCACCATTTGTTGAAAAGACTGTCTTTTCCCCCCACTAAATGGTCATGACAACCTTGTTGAAAATCATTTGACTCCATGCAAGGGTTTATTTCTGGACTCTCTGTTCTCTTCCATTGGTCTGTATGTTTGTCTTTATGCCAGTATACACTGTTTTGATTACTGTAGCTTTGTAGTAAGTTTTGACATCAGGAAGTGTGGCTACTCCAGCAGTTTTCTTCTTTTTTAGGATTGTTAATGCTATTCGGGGTCTCCTGAGGTTCCTTATGAATTTTAGAATGGGTTTTTCTATTTCTACAAAAGTCGTCGTTGGGATTTTGATACATTAAATCTGTAAATCGCTTTGGGTAGTATGGGCATCTAATGTTAAGCCTTCCAGCTCATCAACATGAAATGTCTTTCCATTTATATCTTCTTTAATTTCTCTCAGAAGTGTTTTGTAGTTTTCAGTGAATAAGTCTTTCATCTCCTTGTAAAGGTAATTCCTAAATCTTTTATTGTTTCTGATGTAACTGTAAATGAAAC